ATGTATGAAATATGATATGTCAAGAGCTTTGTAATGTTTTGAACAATAAAAAAAAAAAAAAAGGAAATGTGAAAAGAGAAAAAAGAAGAAATATATTTGGCCCTTTGTGTCTATAGGTTCCACATCCACAGATTCAACCAACCTTATAGTCAGTTGTGCACCACTGCACCCAGCCAATTGAGTCTTTTAATTCATTGTTTTTCTGTGCTACTTTATCATATTATATAATCTATAAGTAATTAGATCATATTATATGATCTACAAGTAATTCTTCCTCTTGTTTCACATTTTATTACACTGACCAGAAGATTTCAATAATTTTAAATAAAAAATAATAAACGTGGAACAATTTGGCTTTAAAAAATATTTCAAAGTTAAAATTATCATGTTAGTTTAAAATGGGTATTTTTTTAGTTGTAGCTGAATACAATATTTTTATTTAAAAAAAATTGAAATCCTTATTTTTTAGTTGTAGTTGGATACCTTTATTTCATTTATTTTTATGTGGTGCTGAGGATCAAACCCAATGCCTTGCATGTGCTAGGTGAGCGCTCTACTGCTGAGCCACAACCCCAGCTCCAAAATGGGTATTATTTATCATATTCAAAAGTATCATATTCTGAATAAATAAAAATGTCCCCTGGCACTGGGGATTGAACCCAGCGATGTTTTACCACTGAGCTACACTCCTAGCCTTTTGAATTTTTTATCTGGAGACAAGGTCTTAAATTTATGATCTGACCTTAAATTTATGATCCTCGTCTCAGACTCCAACTAGTTGAGATTACAGGTGTGTACTGTTAACCCCTCTAGTTTGAAGATTTAAATAAACTACCCCAAGACTTAATTTACATGTTTTATCAAAATATCACAAACCTGGGTTCTTAATATTCTTAGTTGCACTATTCCTTCATTCTCTTCTTCTCTCATCCTTTCTGTAGTGAGCTGCAAGCGTCCAATCAAGTTGATTTTTCCTCTTTTCTGAACTTTTGCATTTTTTCTGTAAAAAACACTGCTCAGTGAAAGGGTTTTCAAATGCTGTATTATAGCAAAAATATCTGAGAGAAAAGATTTACAAATATTCTAAAAATTGAAATCTAGAACTATATAAAGGAGAAATAACAAATAACATATACCTTTATTTAAAACAAACCCTATTCTTCTCAATAATTTCTTATAACAAGTTTGATAATTTATACTGCCATAAAAATAATTAGATAATTGAACAGACATGGGTTGTGATTCAACATTACCTAATTGATCTTCAGGGAAAAATGCTCTGTCTAGATAAAATTGCTTTAGAGCACACAAAAAAGTTTACTTTTAAGATGAATATAGTATATGTCAGACAGCAAAAATGTGTCCATATAAATATGGTAAAGAAGTAAACATCTCTACAGTTCATTAATATATTTTTTTCCCAGATCCTCCTGAGCCCTCTGGCCCCCTAATAGTTTTAATAAAAAACTAAATGACATTAAATTTAGATTGATGGTAACATATAGTTATTGTTATAAATATCATGTAAATAAAAGTTATTTTGCTTAAAAAAAATAACAAACTAAAACTCAAACAAGGCATTTTTATTTTAAATTGACCAACATAAACCTTACATTAAACTGAACTCCTGGTTCACTGAGAAGAGGGTACCTTCTGTAAAGTCTTTGGGTGAATTCACTTGAGGTTCGTACAATAAAACTTGCCGTTTGAGCTTTGGGAAAGCTACTAAAGACTATGAAGAATAAAGGAGAAAACAATTAGTATTTATGAGCAGTATGGGATATTAAGATCAATTCCCCAACACAACCAATATAAATAAGAAAGGATTATAGACACAAATTTACAATCCAAACTTGTATTTGGTATCTCTATGAATATAACAATTTAAATATATGAAGCAGAAAAACAGGAAAAAAGAGGTGGTTATAGGGAAGAAATAAATATTCCCTTTATGGGAAAATAAAAAATTAGAATTGGTCACATAGGACAGTAGCAAATACCACTTGACAGTTATATACCAGCTCTTTCCATCATAGGAAATAATTACTCTGAAACTTTAAGTTGCTTATGGAGTAAGGACAGAAAGTAGTTACAAAGCAAAAAGCTAAAGAGAAAATTTTATAAATTCTGAAAAGATCTAAAGTGTTCTCTTAGATATTTAGTCATCATAAATTCTTTGTACACACTCTTGGTATAAAAATTAACATTAATATATGTATGTCTTTGGGAAGACTCCCACAGGCAAAAAATACCAATTCAATCTTTCTCCTTTTTTTGCCTTTCTCTGTCTTGGTAACTTGCCTCTTTTCAATTTCTTTTTTCCAGAATACCTCATTTTTGTATTTTTCTTGGTTAAATGTCATTTTGAGAGTGTTATAATTTTAAAAATTCATAAGGGTCAGGGTTAGCTCAATGGTAGGGTGTGTGCCTGGCATGTGGGAGGCCTTGGATTTGATCAGCACCATCACCAAAAAACAAAAACAAAACAAAAAAACCACCACCAACAAAAATAATCACAAATTTCCAGAGTATAATTTTTTTTTTTAGAGAGAGAGAGAGAGAGAGAGAGAGAGAGAGAATTTTTTTTAATATTTATTTTTAAATTTTCGGCGGACACAACATCTTTGTTTGTATGTGGTGCTGAGGATCGAACCCGGGCCGCATGCATGCCAGGCGATCTCTATACCACTTGAGCCACATCCCCAGCCCTCCAGAATATAATTTGATAAACAAAATAAATAAACCAACCCATAAAGTCCTTCTAAGTTCAGCATCAGGGAGTTCAGTTGCAAGTTTTAGATTTTCAAAGCTGATTTTCTCTCTGGGTCTTTGGTTCCATGCAAACAACACAGCCAGCTGAAACGTGGTAACCTCCAAATCATATTGACCGACTTCATTCTTAAATGTTATCTATAATAGATAAGATAAATTTCAATAAGAAGCTCTTCATAATGATTACCATCTACCTAATAAAACATCTGTTACATGAGATTTTATGTGAAAATACTGTTAGGTGTCTTCCAATATCCATTATTCCTTTCTTACACGCTATGTAATTTTAAGCAAAGTTTAATGACTCATCTTCTGGCTTTTCCTATAACAGATAATGGCCATGTGACTGAGTTCTGTTCAATGCGATACAAGTGGAAATGATGGAGGAAACTTCTAGAAGTCACCCTTAAATGAAAGTACACCTTCTTTCTTTTTTGTTGGTAGGAAGATATACAAAGTGGGGATCATACTGGGTTCTGCTGATAAGGGCAATATCAGAAGCATGATGGTGCAATCAGAAGAGTAAGTTACTAACAATTTCATGGAACAGATCCACTATTCCTGTGAAAATTTTTATCTGTGAGAGAAGCAGAAAATCTGTTTTGTTTAAGTAACTCTTATTTGGAGTTCTTCCATTTTCACCCAAAGAGAAAACTATATCATAACTTACAATTCCATTTGACATGAGATGATGCCAATGTAGTTTTCTACCACTATGATTTTTTTTGTAAAATTCTTCTACTTCAGGTATCAAATCCTCCAGTTCAGTAGGAAGCGAGACAAAGACTTTTTCAGAGCTTCTTGACCAGGCACCAGCATTCAGAATTTTTATATTAACTGAATCAGCTAAAGGGCAGAATATCAGAAAATATAAAACAATCTTGAGAATAGATAAAATTTACAAAATAAAATAAAATTTAAAATAACACAGGTTAAATTCTGGTAAAAAAATAAACATGACTCTAAAGATTTTGTTAAAAATATTCTTTTGTTTCAAAAACTGGATTCACAAATCTACCATTCTGCTTTGACAGATGTCTCCAGGAATGTGAACGTCATAACATTTCTGGGTCTATTACTGCTATTTAACTTTAATTACGAGAAACACAGATATTCTTTTTTAAAAGTTTAAAATAGGGCTGGGGCTATAGCTCAGTGGCAGAGTGCTTGCCTAGTGTGTGTGAGACACTGGATTCGATCCTTAGCACCACATAAAGAAGAATAAATAAAGGTGTTCTGTCCATCTACAACTACAATAAATAAATAAATAAAGCTTAAAACATATACACACATATGTAATTATAAAGTAAAATACCTGGTAAAGCCAATTTATTATTTTTGTGCATTTCCTTAAAAGCTTGGTTCAAATCTTCAGATACTTTTATGTCCTGAAACATTCTAGCAAGTTTGTTTACATAATCTGCTGGCATACCAACTTCCTAGAAAAACCAAAGACAGAAGAGACAAATGTATATAATCTATTACCAGAAAAAAAATTTAACAGAAAGCTGCCTTAGATACTTTACAAAAATTTTTCTTTTTTCCCTTGACTCTTAGAAAAAAAATAGGATAGTGAGGGTAGTCCTTGCTTTACATAACTTCAGTCTGCACAAATTTTACAGAATAGTTTTACCATCGGTTCTAAACAACACAGCTCAACCTCAGTTGCTACTATATAATAAATGTACTTGCATAAAGTATAAAACTTCACTTCTAATTCCTCAATCCATAAGTTATGACAAAAATAACAGAAGCACAGGCCTGGGTGTGTAGCTTAGTGGTAGAGAGCTCACCTAGCATATTCATGGCCCTGGGCTTGATCTCCAGCACTCAAAATACAAACAAACAAAACTTAGCAGAAACATAATATCAGCTAACACACACAATACTTTATTAAAAATCTATCAGTCATTTGTTTATTCAGTTCACCCAACAGAGAGCAAAGTGTATTGTTTTTGCTGGCATCCTTGCCTTATAGTGATAAAACCACATATTTTACATAAATGGGTAATCAAAAGGCACTTGGCCAACAAAGATGATAAAAATACATTAGAAAATTAACAAGTAATAATGTTGCTGGGTGCAGTGGCAAATGCCTGTAATTCCAGGGAGGGTGACAGAGGAGGATGGAAAGTTCTAGGCTAGTTTTGGCAACATAGTCTCAAAATAAGATAGCAAAAAGACCTCTAGCTCAGAGATACAGTGTTTCTTCAATCCCCAGTACTGCAAAAAAAAAAAAAAAAAAAAAAAGTAATAATGTTGGAAGTGAAAAAAAAAAAAAAAGAACAGAGTTGTAGAACAAAACTGACTGTGGAACTATGGTTGTAATGTTAATAATGCCAATGCTGAACATTCATTATGTACTGAGGTATAAAAACTTAGTGAAACAAAGTTGTTGACATAAATGAGAAAAGTGGTAAGTTACATGCTAGAAATGGATCCAAACTTAAATGGGTATGCCATCTCTTCAAGGCACAGAAAAGATGTTTATTGTACTGGAAGAGAGTAAGCAACTGCTATTAAACTATCTTCATTTTAATGATAGCTTTATTGAGACACATAAATCACCTCCCATAAGATTCATACTTTTAAAATGTAGTGGATTTTAGTATATTTATAGAGTTGAGCAACCATTACCTCAAATTTTAAGAACATTTAATTACTCTAAAAACAGGAACCATGTTTATTTAGAGTCACTTCTCATTTCTACTTCTGGCCCCAATTTCTGCAAACCACTGAAAGTACTTTTTTTGTCTTTTTAGATTTGCCTACCCTCACATCTCATTTTACTGGAACCATATGACATATGGTTTGTGACTGGCCTCTTTCACTTCAGCATTATAATATTTTCTAAGTACATCCAAATTCTAGCATGTGTCAGTACTTCATTTCTTTTATTGAAAAGTCATATTCCACTGTTTGAGTAAACAACATTTTGTTCCTTCCTTAGCTTATTAACATTTGTCATTATTTCTAAATAATATTATAAGGAACCATCCATATACAAAAATTTACATGGATATGTGTATATGTTCTCATATCTATTGAGTAGAATTACCTAGCAGTGAAATTGCTTCATCAAGTCTGTTTAACTTTTTGAGGAACTATCAAACAGTTTTCCAAAGTGGCTGCCCCATTTTAAATCCCACCAGCAACTTACCAGAGTTCTAATTTCTCTTCTTTTTCCTCAACATTTGTTATCATCTCTATTTTTTATTTTAGCTATTATAGTAGGGATAAAGTGATATATTCAGTGATTTTGATTAGCATTTCACTAATGGTTACTAATGCTGAGCATGTTTGTGTGCACTATTGTCCATTTATTTATCTTCTATAAAGCAATGTCTATTCACAATCCCAGATACTTGGGATGCTAAGTCTGAAAATAGCCAAATTTGAGGCCAGCAAAAGGGCCTGAGGATATAGTTCAGTGGTAAGATGCCCTTGAGTTCGATCCCCTGTGCTGAGAAAAAAGAAACAAAGATCTATTCAAATTCTTTGCCCATTTTTAATTGGGTTATTTGACATTTTGTTGTTATATTCTAAGAGTGCTTAAAATATTCTAGATACAGTATCAAGAGATAAATTATAAATATTTTCCTAATTACACTTCATGAATTTTTAAAACAACTTTATTTTGTTTATTTAGGTTTTTTTTTTTTTTTAATGTGGTGCTGGGGATCAAACTCAGTACCTCACATGTGCGAGGCAAGTGTTCTACCACTGAGCCACAACTCCAGCCCTGATAAGCTTTTTACAAAGAAAACAAATACTTCAATATAAAAAGTTTCTTGTGTTTTAAATTGGTGTACTAAACACATAATAGTTTTGCTATTTTTTCATCTTTCTATATGACAATAAGAGTTTTGACAAAACATTTTTAAAAGTCACAGAACAATCATTATTTTTCCATCTATGCTCTTTCACTTGGTATGTTGCTATTTATTATAAACATCTCTATAATTAAACATTTAGCATTAAAAATACCTTAAAAATGAAATAATTTACTGGGTGTGGTGGTACATGCCTGTGGTCCCAGCTGCTCTGGAAGCTGAAGCAGGAGGATTACATGTTCAAAGCCCTGTCTCAATAAAAAAAGGCTGGGGAGGTAGCTCTATGGTAGAGTCCTTGCACAGCATGCACAAAGCTTGGGGTTTAATCCCAGGTATCAAAAAGAAAGAAATTATTTGTCCTGTGGTCTATTTAATAAGGTAATTTTTAGCAAGAGTGTATACAAAAGGGAATAAAACAGTAGAAACAAAGGTGCTTTACTAACTTCATTAAGAAAATGTACTTTAATAGGTATCACTTTATGTTACAAGATATTCTGTTCTTACTAAAAGATCACTATTTCTTTAACATTACCAATATCACCATAGATATGAACCATGTGCGATATTAAAAACCAAATATTTAAAAAAATTTACTTACTCTTAGCCACTCTACCATATTTTCTTCAATTTCACTATCGGCAGAGATGTCTAATATGAGACGTCGTGTCAAGTGAGCTTTGTGATACCTCATAAAAACATCTTTGTTTTGTACGTATTTAAGTACCAAGAGCTGCACAGAAAGCAAAGATACTTTCAATTCTTATATATTCTTAGCCATCTGTCTCATTTAGGCCTTTCCATATCCCCTAAATGTCAAAATTCTGAAATCTATATAAGCACATAAAAATAGAAGCCTACTAAATTATTTCTCTGAAAAATCAGGTCTGATATACGTCACTGATTTAAAAGTCAGCAAATTTGAGACTAACAAAATAACCTCTTAGTCTTAAGAAATACCAGTTTTTTCAGACTTTACATAAAATGCAACAATATTTTTTCACATGAAAAAAAAAATCAATGGTTCTTTCCCAATTTTCTTTTCTACTTACCTTTACCCTTCCCCCCTTCTTTTTTTTTTTTTGACACTAGTCATCTCTGTGATCCTTTTTATCTATACTTGTTCTCTAGCTTCACTTCATTGCTCCCTGGCTTATTACAATTATGCTAAGCAGATAATAAAAGAATGAAAGCAACTAGCTATCAGAAATAGAAAAAAATTTATATACCACTTCTTTAAGCTTTGCTTCAATCTCTTCAGAAGTTAGTTTTTTGCTTAATGGCGTTTTTCTTAGCAACATGTCACAGTAATTGGCAAGCAACTCAGGGCATTTTGATTCTGGTTGAGTTTTCAATCCCACTCTGAAAAACAAAAGCAGATGATGAAAAATGATTAATATTTGCAAAGTTTTTTTTTTCTAAAGCCAATTTTTCAGAAACTAATTTTTTATGTTGAACAGCAAAATTCTTATGTGCAATAATCTAGGGATCAGGATTGGGGTTAAGGTGAGCAAGATATCTATAGTGCATAATTTAAGGAGGCATTCACTCTTGGGGTCCTGTAAATGCCACCCAACTCCTACAGGACCCTGAGAACAAGAAATTCCTTAAATTTTACCCTCTCAGTACCTGTTTGTCTAACCCTAATTTGGGCTTGCAATGATCTTTATTTAGATACTTTTATTTATATAGATACAAAGATTTATTCATATATCTGCTAAAATAGGAAAAACCATGTAAGTTCTTGGATAATTATAACCTAACAAATTTTTTCATTATTAATGTTAAGATAAATCCATTACTTTCCTTTTTGAAATATATCTATATTCTGTAGTGATGTGATAGCTACCAATAACCATTTTAAATATTTGCCAAGTTTTTTTCTAAAGCCAAATTTCTCCTAAACAATGAAAAATTTATATGTATATTTCCCTTTTCTGAGGAAATTTGAAAACCAGTATCATACTTTCATGCTTGAAGTCTTGCATTTATTCTTTTTTAAAAAATATTTATTTGTAGATAAACACACAGTATCTTTACTTATTTTTATGTGGTACTGAGGCTCAAACCCAGTGCCTTACACATGTGAGGCAAGCACTTTAACACTGAGCTACAGCCCCAGCCTTGCATTTATTCTTTATTCTACTTCTTAAACAACATTTGTAAGTAAACAAATTCAACATTTTAAAATTTCTCGTGCATACAAAATTCAAGTGTTATTTTCAAGGATTGAGTGATCTATATTATTATCAGTATATATCATCAAAAAACAAAATTATATTGTGTGTACATAAAAATAAAATGTATGCAAATGTCTATTTTTACTGGATACATCAACTCTTTTAATTTTTTTTTTAATTAAAAGAAATATTTTGCCTATAATCCCAGTGACTCAGGAGGCTGAGGCAGGAGGATTGTCGCACTTCAAGGGCAGCCTCAGCAACTTAGTGAGGCCCTATCTCAAAATTAAAAAATAAGGGGTGAGGACGTAGCTTGGTGGGAAAGCTCCCTGGAGAATGTGGGGAATGAAACTCAGGCCTCATACATGCTGGGCAAGAATTGTACCACTGAGATACATCCTTACTCCCTGGATAAATAGACTTTTTTTTTTTTAATAATTCTTTTTTAGTTGTCAATTGATCTTTTTATGTAGCTTTATTTTTATTTATTATTTTATTTATTAACTTATATGCAGTGCTAAGGATCAAACCCAGGGCCTCACCCAGGAAAGTGCTCTATCACTGAGCCACAACACTAGCCTCCCTTTTAATTTGATGAATTAAATTGTTTCTTCTCCCAATTATGCCTTTTTTGTGGGTGGGGGGATGATGGGGATTGAACTCAGGCCCATGGGTGCTCTATCACCAAGCCACACCTCCAGACCTTTTTAATTTTTTTGAAACAGGGTCTCACTCATTCACTGAAGCTAGCCTCGAACTTGTGTTTCTCCTATGTCAGCTTCCCCAATCATTGGGATTACAGGTCTGTGTCACCATGCCCAGCTTTTTCTTACCAATTATGAATCAGCATCAATTCTATTTCTACTTCTTATTTTAATAATGTCTTTGCTCTGAAAAATCTTCATCATGTAAGTAAGCAGATGGGACTAGAATAAATTTTTCTTATGACATCAATTTTTTCCTCAGTCATTTGCTTAAAAAAATAATGTTGACCTAACATTAAAATTTAACTTTAACAATTCATATTTTCAATAATGACTAATTATAAACTACCCAACTTGCAAAGGCTCTGATAGCTAACTCATTAGAAATTCATTTTCTGTACATCAGTACCACATGGCAAATACCTTCTTAGGCAATCTGGAGGCTTTTCTATCCAGAGGCAAAACACTATGGTATGAAGGACAAGAGGTATTCCTTTCTTTACAAAGTGTGGAGGGCTAATTGTGGAACAAGTAAAAAAGAAAAACTGCTATGATAGTTCCATCAGAGCTCAGTTTTAGAAAAAAGTTGACACAGAAGTTCAAGATTAGGAACTGATTTTCTTGAAAGTATCCACACATAATATATTCATTCTCTAGGAAAATCTTTCTGTAATCCTCAACATAGGCATATCCCACTAATAATATGATAATTGGATATCCATCTTTTCAAATCTTTTGCAGTGCAGATGCCAAGGTCAGGCATGAACTCCTGTGATAATCCAACTATGGGAAGGGGCTGACCACTTTAATCCAGTTAGGAACAGGGCTGGTTCAAGGTCGGGTTGCAGTTTCTGCTAGGAATCTGTCTACCTCTGGTTAGCCCCTGAATTTAAGGAATGTTCCTCCTTGGTTTTCAATTAAGGTTCCACCGGGTTTTGTCTCTTCAGTCCTGTATGACCACCAAATCTCTCTATTGCCCTCCAGAAGCATTGCTCAGTCGGGGCCAAACCTTCATTTTCACATATTATTTCTCTTTAAGGAAACAGGTCAAATTCTCAGTTAGCCTCTAACAGGTTTTCTCACCTTCTGTTAAGTTTCAATCCTTTCATCATAGCTGCTTCTGAAGCTCTTTGATAACATTAAAATTACTATTTTCTGTATTTACGTAATCATTATAGTTGTTATCGATGGAAGCACTGATTTTTCACTTCTCAGAAGTGAGTCACTCAAATAAACTGAAAGCTAGTAAAAGTTTATTCTCCTAGAACATCACCACCCCTACCTCTGAAAGCCACAACACCTGTTTTCTGCTATCTGGGTCAGCTACTGATATTCATTTTGCTCCACAGAAATTTTTTACTTTAATCTGGAGCTAAAAGATATGGTAATCTCAGAATCTGAAAATACAGAGAATTTAGCAATCTTCACTTTTGGGAAACTATCTTGAAGACACAGGTTCACATATGTAAAATGACAACTGTACAATATTATTCCTCTGTCGCATTAAAGGTAGCAGCAAACCATTAGAAATAGGTGCAGGATTACTTAAATAAACAAGGGCACACCCACGAGACAGAATGCCATGGCACTATTAAAAATAATGAGATTATAAAAAAAACTTACAGCTTATATCATAATGGTGAGCACAACTGAGAACAAATCCCCTAAAACCAAGAAAAAGATAAGGATACCTGAATTCACCATTGACATTCATCGCTGTACCAGAATTTCTAGTAAGAGCAATTGAGCAAGAAAAAGAAACAGAAGACATCTGAATTGGAAAGGAAGTGGTTAAAGTACCTATTTTCAGATGTCATGACCTTGTGTATAGAAAATCTAAAAGAACCCATAAAAAAGCCATTAGGGCTAATAAATGAATTTAGGAAAACTGTATAGTACAAAATAACATTTAAATCATTTATATTTTTATATACCAGCAACAAATAATCTGAAAGGAATAAAAGAAGACCTAAATAAACAAAATGACATCACATTTTCATGGTCTGAGAGACATAAAATTAAGATGTTAACAGTACCCAACATAAGCTACCAATGCATTTCCTATCAAAATTCCAGGAGCCTTTTTTTTTTCCCCCTACAAAATGGAAAAACCAATCCACAAATTCATGTGGAGTTGAAAGAGAACTCAAATAGCCAAAACATTTGGGCGGGGTGGGGTGGGGGACCTGGAACATTCACATGTCCTGATTTAAAAGCTTACTAACAATGCTATAATAACAAAACAGAGTGGTACCAGTATAAGGTCAGACATATAGACTATAGGAATTAAATTAAGCATCCAGAAACAAACATAAATCTATGGCAAACTGATTCATGGTAACAGGGCTAAGACTATTCAATGGATGCAGGGACGACTTAATATCCACATGCAAAAGAAAGAAGATATATATACACACACACACACACACACACACACACACACACACACACACACATATATATATATATACACACACACACACACACACACACACATATATAGGA